GATCAGAGAAGAAAAGCAGACAGTCTGTGTAGTTTTACTACTCTGTAAATACTACCATAAAAATAAATTATAAAAAAATTAAAGTTTATTGATGTTGCTACGAACAAAAGCACACAACACAATTGTAAAATCTGAGTAGAACCTGTTTAAACCGCATGAAAGTGAAAAGTGCAAAACTCTGCACAATCCCAGTCAAAGATAGGTTATTACAGGATTCAGGTAAGTATGTCTTTACACGTACTACCAAAAACACTACAAAAAAGGGTGATATATGAAAAAAGGTTATAACTAGTGATGTCCCGAATGGTTTGCCGAACGGTTCGCCACGGACTCATCACTGAGTAAACTTTGACCCTGTACCTCACAGTCAGCAGACACATTCCAGCCAATCAGCAGCAGACCCTCCCTCTCAGACCCTCCCACCTCCTGGACAGCATCCATTTTACATTCATTGTGAAGCTGCATTCTTAGTAAGCTGTCCAGGAGGTGGGAGGGTCTGGGAGGGAGGGTCTGCTGCTGATTGGCTGGAATGTGTCTGCCGACTGTGAGGTACAGGGTCAAAGTTTACTCAATGATGAGTCCGTGGCAAACCGTTCGCGAACCGTTCGGCGAACCGTTCGGGACATCACTAGTTATAAATAAATAAATATCTAGATAAATAAATATCTATCTGCTCTGTAGGTAGAGGTGGTCAGCGGGCTATGCAATGCTAGTCTCAGCCTTCTCATGTTAGTACCTACCCCTTACAATTTATGCACTAAGAGCTGGAAGGCAAAAGTTACAAGCTGACAAGCAGTTTGAGAGCAACAGTAGTAGAGGAGATCCACAAGCAAGTAATGGATTGCCTAATGGAGTTGGAGGAGGCCTTTGAAGATGAATAGGTTTCGTCGTAACAATTGTATTGCTGGGGCTTACCTGAGAAGCTCACTAGCCAATGAGGTAACTGGCAACCTATGGCTGATGGATAGTGTCCACAGGGCCCTGCAAACGTGAAGAGGTGAAGAGGAACAGGCACATGAGATCATGCTCAAATTCCACTCCTGATGCACTCCTGTTAAGGAGGCAATACTAATAAAAAAACTGCAAGTTCGACGGCAGCATGTGTCTTTGGTGTTGCAGACTCCACTATGGCAGAGTCAAGCTTGGTTTCCAGAGCTTCTGGATCTCTCCTATCGGGATCCACTACTCCTGCTGTCCCCTCTGATGCTCCTCTTGGACTCTCTGGGCAATCCTCATCCCCTCGTGAGGGACAGCAACCTGCGTTTGGTGGCTTGGACTCTTTCAGGGGAACCTGGAATGTCAAGGTGTTATCGCAGTCGGCTAAAGACCTCCTCTGGGATTCCTGGGCCCCCAGGACTAGAAGATGCTATTTATCAGCATGGGGCTCCTGGTGTCGTTGGTGTCTGGAACGGGATACTGATCCCTTTATGGGCCCTGTAGCCAGTGTGTTGAATTTTCTGTTGCACCTGTTTGACCTGGGACGATCATATAGTTTGGTTAATGCGGCGAGATCGGCGATCTGGGCGACCCATGTACCGCTTAGAGGTTTGCCCATTGGCCAGGATCCGCTAGCCTGCAGACTGCTTCGTGGTATGAGACTATCGCGACCACCTCTGCCTAAGTATTCCTCCCTCTGGGACATATGCACGGTTTTGTAGTTTCTCCTGGATTGGCTTGTAATCAAGACCTTTCCCTTCGTCAACTTTCGGCTAAATTTGCCCTCTTACTATGTCTTATTTTGTTCAGACGTGTTTCAGATGTCCGTGCCTTCGATGCCAACGCCTTTTCTTTCTCTCCGAAAGGGATCACCTTCAGGGTGTCTAGACGTACTAAGTCAGAATCAACGTCTATTTTTTACCCGTATTTCCGTGACTAACCTAAGCTCTGTGTAGCGAAGACTCTGTCTCGTTATGTGGCGATTACCGCTCCACTTCGTTCTTCTCATTTCGGCCACTTGTTGATTTCTTATGTCAGACCTCACAGACCGGTCTCGTCTCCTACTCTGGCGCAATGGATAAGATGGTTATTGGCATTGGCGGGGGTGAATTCGACCTTCGGAGTGCATTCGGTTAGAGGCGCGGCAGCTTCTGGAGCCTTTATGGCAGGCGCTTCACTTCAGGACTTCATGCATTCAGCCGACTAGTCCAGAGAAGATACCTTTCGCCAATTCTACTTTAGACAATCGGATCATGCTTCTTTTGCTTTGCTGTCAGAGCGTTAAAACAGCAAATATGAAGCCTCCTGTCATGCTATAAAATTGTGAATATCCAACATTGCTCCTTGTATGTAGATTGCCAACACCTGATTCTTGTATTTTAATCTGTAAATAACAAATACACGTTTAGTCTTATCTCAAGGCTCAAACATTCCTGTCCATGTTCGTCTAGGTATGAGCCCTTGTAAGGGGTTCATAGTCGGTTGTCGGGGGCCCATCTGGTTGCGGTTGGGCCTAAGTGACCCTTTTATTAGCTTATTGTGCTATCACTTGTCTATGTATAAGCGTGGCATGTTCTATTCTCATATATGAAGTTCCCACACCTTTAGCATCGCTATGAGAGATAAGTATAAGGTGTCCATTAGTGGAGTTAGCGTGTGCTTTTGCGTGTAGGTTATGCTATGTCCCTAACCCTAGGGGACGTCGGGGGGGGAGGTGAGTGTGGTCTAGTCGGTGGCGAGTAGTCGTTAGGCAGGTCGCCTCTAGGAGAGCGACTACCTAGGTGCACAGACATCTCTGGGGCTTCAGTCAGATCATCATATGAAATTTTCAGTTACCAGATAAAAACAACATTGAAAGCATAGTACAAAATAATAAAACCATAGTGCTGCAACTTAAGAGAAGGTGGCACTTTATGTCACGTCACCCTGACCGTTCCGTGGGGTAAACAGGGTAATGTTATCCAAGTCCCAAGTCCCGTTAGTGTCTCTGGCTCTCTGCTCTAGTGGGGCGTCATTGATGCCCACTGCTGCTAGGAAGGTGATGGCTTCCGCCACGTTGGTTGCCTTCAGCTGGCTGCCATTGTTATATACCGTAAGGGATCTGAGTGTGGACCATCGGTATGATATGCTTGCTTCTTGTAGTTTTCGCGTGATGGGTTGCATCATTTTCCGCCATGTTAGTGTGGAACGATGGAGATCCTGGAAAAACAAGATCTTGTGAGTCTCAAAGTCCATAGGTGTCTTGTTGTATGTTGCTTTCAATAGGGCATGCTTGTCTTGTCTCGTACCACAGCATAAGATTATGTCCCTTGGGGCTGTGGTCGGCGCCCTGGGGGACCTAGCTATGCGGTAGGCCCCGTCGTGTGTGAATTGTTTGGACTGTTTCGCAGGGAGTAGTTTGAACACCATTCTCCTTATGAGGTGTGGTAATTCTTCAGGGGTGACTGTTTCTGCAACACCTCGTATCTTGATATTTTTCTGGCTTGCTCTTTCGTCTATGGCGTCTATTCTCAGCGAGGTTTCCGTGTGGGACCCCTGTAGCTGTTTGACTGTGTCTGTTAATGCCGTTAGCTGATGTTGTAGGTCAGCTACAGTGGAATCTGTTGCCTTGACATGAGCCGTTACCGCCTGCATTTCTGTGCGCACCGCGGCTATATCTGCCACGAATAGTTGTTGGATGCGGATAAAAAGTTTGTCGATGTCCTGCTTAGTCGCAGGGTCCTGGCTATTCGGGGTTTGCGTCCTCTGGTGTGATGTCACTCACCGCTCCTGTCTCTTTAAGGTCCTGGGCCCCCATTCAAGTCTGCTCCTGCTCCCTGGGCTTTGGTGTGCGTTGTAGCAGCACGCCTATGTCCTGCAGGTCTTGTGAGGCGGCCGCTTGGAATTTGTGGGATTTTTTGCCCATTACTTCTGACCTTTGAGCCTGCGTCTGTAGGGGTTCTGGTGTGAGCCAGTCCAGGTCCCACCAGGCTGCAGAGGTGTGCGGTGCGATTTTCGGGCCGGCCGCGTGGGAGGCCTTGGGTGGTCGGCGTTTACGTTTGGCGCCCGTTTGCTGAAAAAAAAGGCATCGGCGTGTGCCTCCCGGGTACTGCAGGTAAGTCGTGTACCAGTGGGTTTGAGAGAAATCCCCGGTTTTTAATGTAAAGGTCGAGGAGCCCTAGAGATGGCGTCTGTGCTGGTCGCCCGTCAAGCCCCCATAATCTTAATTTTATTAATGACAGGAGACGAATATTTCCCTCCCAGTTTTTCCCTCCCCTTATTCTTTGTTTTGTTTAGGTTTACCTACTTTTAGTGTTAGACTGTTTTCCCGGGCTATGGTAGATAAGTCAGGTATTGTTCCTATGGGGAATAGGGTGTGTTTCTCTGGGATGTTGTACTGTCAGTAATTGATGATAAGTATTCATGTTTTCTCAGTACATTTCACTCACTAATCTGAGTTTTCGACTCTTTATCTCATTTCATTTTAAATGGTTGGACTGCGGTTCTTAGATCTGGATCTTCTTCAGGATAGAGGTCAAGGTTTCATCCATGTTACAAGTTTCGGATGACGGTCATGAACTTTTTTTGTTTGGTTTCTTCTATTATTATTGAGTTGTATATTGTTCTTGTTCTCTATTTTTGTCGCAGCTTGAAAGAGGAAATAGTTGGTTGGGAGGGGCCTTTTATGGTTTCCTTACTTTTTTGTGATTGTTTTTTTCTCTCTATGTTAATGTGCTGCTTTGGAGTTCTAGTAAAGAGAGACTTAAGCAAATATTCACCTCCTGTCATTAATAAAATTAAGATTATAGTTACACTAAAGCTGGTATTATCTTCAAATATAAATATATATATATTATTTTTTTTTATTTTTTTTTTCCCGAAATTTACAATGATCAAAAATACATACAATACCTCAATGTTCAATACAAATGTACAAGTAAATGTGTTTCCATTAAAACATGTTTATAAAGTGCATTTATACAGACAGTGCTTCAAATAACTTTAAATACGTGTGCATAAAACTCCATATATTGCAAAGCTTAGATAAACCGCAGTAGGATTACAGTATCTGTAAGTTACATAAATAGCAGAATTGAGGTATCACCAAACAACATTCACACTGAAACACACATACAGTCGCGAGGAACTAGCATTGTTCTAGCCATATATGCAATTACTTCCCAAATGGGTACATCTTTTTTCGCTAGTTTCTCTCGGGAACCCAACACACACCAGGGGCATCTCAAACCTTCTATATTATAAACCTTCATTACTAGCCATAAACTTGTCAACTATATTTTTCCACCTACTAATTTTCCTCAAACCAACAGAGTTTCCTTGAATAATTCCAATTTCCATTTTACATTGGCATGTTTTAATTTCAGTCCACTCTAACGTTTTATTGCTTTTCCAATGCCTAGCTAGAACTATCTTAGCTGCCATTAAAATATGTATTATTAACATGCTTTTTTCAATAGGCATAGAGGGCCACCCCTGATGTAGCAAAAAGCTCTGTGGTGTATATCTGGCAGGTATTATAAATCTGTTGATAGATATTCTTCCATATATTACTTAAAGATTTACATTGCCACCATACATGGAGATAATCTAAAAAATAATAAGAAAACATACACAAGGGACCGGAAGGTAGGACAGAGAAAAACCCTTGCCCCCCTCCCTTCCCTTGGGTAGATATGGTCACCTAAACTGGGTAATAGGGGATAACCCAAAAATAATGAATTAAAGAATATATAATTCCAAAAAAGCTGCCTTACTAGAAGGCAGCCAATAGGAAAGGAACCCAGTCCAATCTCAAAAAAAGTATAAATAGTACCAAAAAATAATAAAACTTTATTAGAATATAATAAAAACCTAAGACTAAACAAAGATGTCTAAGGTCTAGTAATAGGAGAGGTATAGCATATAGAAAAGCCTGAAAAACTGCCAAAAGAAAAGGGGCAGTAAACTAAGCTGTGTTACATATACCTTAGGGAATAACAGCATAGAGGACCTAAGTAGGAGAGAGAGGATACATATGTAGTATATAGTATTTAGAAGCCCAAAAAGGGGGGTAAAAATGCCCCAATTGTTACATAGAGGGAACCAAAAAAAATACTAAACCCAAAATCAAAAAACCCCCTTCCCAAATCAAAAAGACGAATAAATTTTAACCACTCATATCGCACAATTGTCATGGATGGATGACAATTGTGGGATATGAGGGGTTAAAATTTATTGGACCGGCCAATTTGATCATCCCGGCCGCTCAAGGCTATATTCTGCTACATTGACATTGTAAACTCTGATTGCCACAATATGTCATTTTCTCAGTTCAGGAACATAGGTTGTCTTCACATGAAATTCCAATTGAGTAAGCTAATGAATATAGGTTGGCAGTCTAAGGAATTGATTTACATGTGAGATGAGAGAATCTCTTTGGTAATGTTGTATTGCATCCAGCTAACAAAATGTTTGAAGTGTTTCCATTCAAAGTCCAAGCTATACAGTGAGAAAAAAAAAAACAAAAAAAAAAAACATACCTTTGCATGCCATCGCACCTGGAGATTATGGGATGATAATGGACCACTCTAGAAAGCATGTGTTACAACCTACGTGGAAATGACCTACTAAGTGTTACTAACTACAAATACAGCTGATAAAGTAACTGACATCAAATTTTTGGTTCCCATGTCCAATTGCAAAATCATCAGTCCCGAGGAAGATGCCACAACAGAACTATGGAAAGACGAGATAGAATAAAGCAAAATTGGTTTATCAAGTTACCAGTTGACCTCCCGGGTGAAGTCTAGGGCTTAACCCTTATTGTATAGATAGAAACAAAGGATAGCAAACTCCCCAGATAAAACAGGGGGTTGCTCCCTGGTATATGTGATGATAAGGCGCACTACATAGCAAACCGATAGATCACTGCTCAAATACAGTAGTGAACAAATAATTTTACTTAATGCACCAAAAACAAAGAAAATAAATGAATCACAGCACACAAATATATATACAGATCGTGTCTTGCAATTTGTCTGCTCTAAAAGGGTCCAAAGCTTCATGTGTGTGGTGTAGCATATTACAAAGTATTCCATGATATCATAGCCCCTTCTCACAACCCTGTTTAGCAATTAACAAATAGTACAATAGAAGACAACAATGAACAGACTCCTGTATTCCTGTAATGGCCATGTAAGCCTGTACATGTCCTCAATTGTAATATTTGCGGTGCTATGTTGCTTTGCTGGTGGATGTCAAATATAAAGTATTAAAAAAATATTTTTAAAGATACAAGTGTTAAAGAGGGCCCTGCTCAGGTGTGCATACAATCTACAATCTAGTAATCTTTTATAGTTTCATTACATATTAACCAATGGGAATATGAATTTTTACATGAGTACTCGTTACCAATAAACACAATTCATCAACATATAGCTCAATTGTCTCGCAATTCACATTGGACTTTAACCTTATAAACTTTATAAATAGATCTTGTGACGGTAGTAGTCAGTATCACCGTCTAGTATTCCTTTTGCCAATAGCAGAATAACTCCAATAATCCCAAGAAGAAATATCGCTGTAATCGCCGAATAATCCACACATGAGCCAAGGCTTAATGCTGGAACAAGACTGACTTTACTGGCACACAGGACACACAATTTATGTGATACAAAACTCTTCCTCTGGGCCAGGCTAGATAACTGAGTTTCAGCAATACACAAAGCTCAATTATCTGCTGACCAGAAACATTATAATTTTTAACAATTTCAGAAAAGTACTTTCCATAACACATACAACTATAACTTTAACATCCCTGGGTAGCTGAGGATACTGGTATTCACATATCCAAATCTCACAAATTTCTGTTTGGTAGTTTCTGTGTCGCATCGTGTGGAAGTTTGACCGGCTCGCCATGTGGAGGTATCCAAGCTAGAGTTCCATAAAGTCAGTAGCAAGAGCCAGTATCTGTTCGCGTCCAACTACAAGAAAACCACAGTTCGTATGGTACAGCTGGTTACATACGAATGTTCCCCTCTTTGGGTAGATTCTATCTACCGAATGCCAGTTTGATTCGTGGAGGAGAACGTATACATCCAGGACTTACATGCAGACCGGGCGTTCGCATGTTTGCCTTGCCGAGTTTTAAGATGGCCGCCATTCTTTGTTCTCGCCACGTGTTCGTATGCCGAATGGCGGCCACCTAGGAGCAATTAAGTTGTGGTTTTCTCCACGTTCTAAAGCTGATTGCTACCCAGGGTAGGTGGTCTCTTGTTCGGTAGACGAATACAATTTTAACACATACTTAAACAACATTTCACAAGTATTTGGACAGCAGGGAGAAGCTATAACTGAAGGCATACATGTAAGTACAGGAAATCCTTCAAAAATCTTATCTCTGTACAATACACAAACATCCTTTTGCCTAGTAAACCATTTGTATGTATGCCTTTATACATGCCCATGCATGTGCATCTGGTCCTTGAAAATGATACCAGGACACACTAATATCATTTAACGCCATAAGCGTTGCTCACTTGTACCACCAAGATACTGTAGATCTCTCCCTTGTGGAATACGCACTGACACACACTAGATATATTGCTTGCTCTGTACCCAAAACCCACCAGTTACCATCGTTATGTTTTTGGGGCCTTACATTTTTTTTTCTGTGCCCGTATCCTGCATTAGTTTCTTCTCTTCATAATTCCTTTCCGTTGGGTTTCTTCCTTGACTACACATCTACACAACTGTCCACAAACAATGGAATAGATTTGATTATGAGGTTGCTTCAACCCTCTTGGGATTTGATGCCTTGGACTCTCCATTTTATAGACCCAGACTCCAGGTTTTGAAATGAAAGATAAAGTGTTTTATTTGTTATATATAAATCGCCCACCAAACATAGAGCAAATCCTAATCAATTTTGTGAAAACAAACAAAAAAAAGTAAATAATGTTTTTTAAAGAGACGTGCATTCGTTTTCGTACGAAAATTATTTAGTCCGAAAATTCAGTTTTTTTCATATTCGTTTACTAAAACTTAAACAAAAGACCTACAAACCAAATATAA